AAAATGTTTTAATTGCTTAGTTAGAAACTGATCTTGTGGATCTGTGGGAAGAACTTCTTTTGATACTTAAATGTTGTATTTTACAACTTTTTTAAATAGGAGTTGATTTACTTGGTCATGTCAACCCAGAAATTTTAATTTACAAAGACATGTTTTCTTAGTGTAATTGCAGTAATCCCAATGTTACAAACTTAAAATGGCATCTAGTGTGCTTTGCAAAATGGCATTCATTTATTATTTTTTTAATTTTTAAAACATCTTTTCAGTTAGCGTGTGAAAAATGCTTTTGTTTTGCCGTGCTTCAAAACCTCGTATGATTATGGCTTGGAAAAAAACAGAAGCGTTCAGAACAAGAACAAACATTTCTAGTAAACATGGAACTAATGTTACTCATTTTCTTTATTTAATGGGAAAATATATGATCCAGAAAATCTTAGCTTTATGGAATATAGTAAATCATAAATTTAATTAATCTTACAAAAGAAACTTAGGCATTTTCTTTTCAGCAGAGAAATAAGTTGGAGAAGATTATAAAAAGTGGGAAAAGAACATTCTAAAAGTTAAAAAAGGCAGTTGTGGGTAGTAATTTGTGTGTCAGAGTAAAATTGGGTTTTTTTGATCAGCACATAGTGATGGACAGTCTGAAGTGTGAATTAGAGTAAGTCCTTTAACAAATTGTGTAGGTTTTGCAAGAACTTTATCAGCAAAGCAGTGAATCTTGGTGAAAGTCTTTGACTTTTACATTTCTAGATAATAGAAAAATTAGTTGAAACTGAATTTTGCTGATTTTCATATTTTCATATTTTGCAGATGCTCTGAAATTAACTCGTGTAAGCTTTATCCCTGGATTCATCAATTTAGTAATAACAGAAGATCTGCTGATCAGATACGACCAATTTATTTCCCAGATGTTGATCCTCACAGTCTTCCTTCTGGTTCAAACTTCTCTATGACAGCAGGGGATTTCCAAGAAATTTATTCCGAGTTAAGTGAGTAAATGCAAACCTCTAGCTATCCATGTGACTTCATCGATCTTCAGAGTATTGGGGACAATTAATTAATACAAAGGGAATGGAACTGTATCTACAAGCACTAAGTATAAAGTACTAACTGTAGCAAGATTTTCTTACTCTGAATATTTTTCCAGGTGCATAATAAAGTGCAGATCAGTAGCTGTAGTTCTTACTTCAAATTGGCTTTTCTTCTTAGTTATTAAAAAATATGGACACCTCCTCATCTAGCAAATCTTGCAGGAGCCTTCCTTATTGTTGCTTGATTTTTTGCAGATTCTGTCTTTAATATTAGAACATCTGATACTGGCATAAATCAAGACTTAATTTTTTTATTTGCAGGACTTAAAACTTGCTATTCCAAGGATACATGTGTAGAGAAAAATAGGGAATGCTGTAAAAGGTAGACTTTGAAAGTACCTGCTTGTTAAATTGACTAGTATGAAACAAATGGAGAGACATTCAGATACTGAAAAAAATGTTAAGTCAAGTGATTTGTGAAAATACAGCCTTGTATAGTTAGATGTTAACTAGGAAAGCCCAAAAACACTGGGTATTTTTGCAGTTGTATGACATAATGAAGTTCATAGGACAAGTGAGTAATAGCACACTTGGGCCTTCATTTATATAAAATGTGTTACAATGTTTGCATTTTACAGTATATATCTCATTTTATATGTGTATGGACAATTTTATGAAGTGAATATGTAATAAGTATGTGTAATATTTTAGAGTGTGTTTGTGTACATATATACACACATATATAGGTCAAACAAACCTAAACTTAACAGGTTTTAATATAAACCTAAATATTTTACTTTTAAACAAAATTAAGAGCCTTCAGCTGTTGTTAGTTGGAGGTAAACACTAAGTGTATGAACAAATACCAGGGTTGAGTGATGAAATTTTACAGGCATTACAAGCATTGAAACTAATCTTGATATGCTTTGCTTTTTTTTTTTTGCAGATAAATGGGACTGCGTAGCAACTTGTTTTTTCATAGATACAGCACATAATGTTATTGATTACATTGATACTATATGGAAAATACTAAAGCCTGGAGGAATATGGATTAATGTAGGCAAGTGTGACAAACCTCTCTTCTTAACTTAATTTTGATTATGTAACAGGCATCTAATACTGAAAAGTGAGTGTGTCTGTGCTGACAGCTGTAGAACTAGAAAAATACAGGGGTTAGAAATTATCTCAGAAGTGTTCAGAATATGTCCAGATGTTTGCTAGTTTCAATCAAGTCAACACTGTGTGACTTTTAAATAGTAAATCTTCTAGTGGCAGGTTTTGCATTCATTCAAGTGGCAAGTTTTACATTCATTCATCAAACATTTGTTGTTTAACAAATGTTGTGTTCTGTATTCTTTTTTACTATTTTTCTAAGAAAATAGAACTTAGTCTGAGTGCAAATACATCTTTGCTCTTTTTTTTTTAAATATATTGTGTAATGGATACTGTGGTTCTAAGCAGAAGTTTTGGGAATGAGATTTATGTATGCCTTGGATCAAAACAAAAGAGACTTAAGTCTTCCATGATGAAAGAACGTCAGACAAAACTCAAGCATTAAACATTTTGCATAACTGGTCAGTCAGCCACTATCTGAGTCTGGCCAGTCATGGACTGCAAGCAGAGCTCCTGAGTAGTTTTTTGCATTCTGAGTTACAGAGATGGCAGTGATGCTGGGCTGAAGAAATCTTAAGATACAGAAAACAGAGTCTGGTAGGAAATGTGACAAATTTTTGAATAAGCAGCTGAAATAATTAGTTTTCATTTTGTATTCATTCTGAAATTCATTATATTTGAGTGATAGAAATACATGCTTTTGTCAGTACTTACGGAATCATAGAATGGTTTGGCGTGGAAGGGGCCTTAAAGATCATCTAGTTCTAACACCCCTGCCATGGGCAGGGAACCTTCCACATTTTTGCATGTGTGAGTCTGGATATAAGCACTTTCAGTTAGTGCTTTTAATTTGTAAAACATTTTTTTGTCTTTTTGATAAGCATTTCTGTTGTATCTTTGTACTATAGGTCCTCTCCTTTACCATTTTGAGAACTTGGGAAATGAACTTTCTATAGAATTAAGCTACGAGGATATAAAGAATGTTATCCTGCAATATGGATTCCATATAGAGGTAAGAAGATGCTGCAGTTTGCAATGAATAGTCTTGGTATAAACCAGACAAACTGCTTTGGATAATCCACGGTAAATTTAGTTCAACATAATGGCATATATTAAGAACTTCTAGGTGTATTCCATGTGTGTTGCAAATTATCTCCTCATTTTTTACAAAGTATAGATAAGCCTTGAAATCTAGTATTAGCAATTTCTTGTATAGTTGTCGTAGAGAAGCTGTTTTGAAAACTGATGCTTTGTTTTCAGGTGGAGAAAGAATCTGTACTGTCAACTTACACTGTGAATGAACTCTCCATGATGAAGTACTACTATGAATGCGTGTTGTTTGTGGTGAGAAAACCAGAACAGTAGTGGTCTGAATAGGTTAATCAGAGAAAATGTTGGCTTGACAGCTAGAAATCAGAAGAAAATGATCTGGGTGATGTCTGGACACAACCTCAAATCAGTGGTGCCTTCTTATTCCTAAGAGGATTTTAGATAGTGTCTATTTTCTTAATATCTCTACTGTTATTCAGACATATACTATGCCATGCATATTTGTAATATACTCGTGAAAATGGAAGATAAAATGTTCCGTGCTTTTCGGCATTTTCAGAAAAGAAAAATGTTGAGAATAAAATTAAATGTTTGCCTTAAGTAGACTAATTCTCTGCATATGCTGCTTCATTTTTCATCGATTTATAGTGGTTTTTTTTTTCTACTTTCTGATATTAGGAATGCATGGAGGTGTTTACTGTACTAGCTGTGTCACACTTAGCAAAGTATTTCAAAACATATAGTTAAATTATGAAGTCTGAAATGGTTGGAAAATGGTAAAATTATTCTTGACAGATAAAATAGCCATCAGAACTGTTAGAGCATTTTCTGTGGAACTGAAGTGGATTATTATACAAATTCTAATCTTTGACTGTACCCCTGTTAACAGTTTTATTAAAATACAGAATCTGTAGTATTTGAAATACTATGCAAAAGCAGGATGTCACAGAGAAAGCAGTATAACCTCAGTTCGGGAACACCACCAGTTTTTATGTATCTTAGTGTTGAAGCTGAAATGTCTTAGTTGCTTTGCTGTCTTGAAATACATTGATTTCAAGTCATCTTAATGCTTAAGCCAAAACCTTTAAAGTTGATAACATAGCTGAGTTACCCATGTTGTGTATAGGTAGTGCCACATAAAAACGCCTGTTGGGAGAGTGAAGTTACATGTAAATGTCTGCTGTAACCTAATTCCCTTTCCTGAAGTCAGTCAGGACATGGAGGTCGATGGGTAGACAATTTCTGTGTAACTTCAGACGCTCGATGCATGTGACTTCTTGGTTCCTTACCCTAATGTGTTTTTTTCATAGCAGATGTGGCTTAGGTAAATACTTAATCTACAAGTCGTGATATTATACAAGAGGCTGGACATCCTGTGACTTTGAAGTTACGAAAAACATGAGAAAAATATTAAACAATCACTATGCTGAGAGGAGGTGTCATGTTAGGCAATTCATTTTCTTACTATATTAATTACTTTAAGCACCATTTTCAAGTATTTTGGAAAAAGTCTTTAAGATACAATACTGTTACGAGGGATCAAGGTTTTGTTTTTTCGTCATATTTGGCCATAATGATACTGGTTAATAATTAGTTTGTTTCCCATTATTTTTCATCCCTTCATTCATGATGATGGTCTAATCACATCACTTTAATAGATGTGTTATTGGCTTTTTCCAGCTAAGGCAAGAATTTTGTGCCTTTGTTCTTAAATTGAAAATCTGCAAGGAGGGAAAACACAAACTTTTTTTTTTTAATACCTTCACCACCACGTAAGAGAGCACACACCTGGATATGTATCATTAGTGTGCTCCTTTCTGCTCAGAATCCTTACTGAGAATAGAGGCTTCAGGTTAACAGGAGTTTTTAAGTAGAGGTTGGCTTAAGCTAATTTTGTTTCAACTCTCTCTTCTTTCCAAAAGTGCACCGCCATGATTAAGTTCCATAAATGAACTGTCAGGAGTTCTGCCCTGCTCCAAGAGAGATGTTTAAAGATGAAACACTGCCATTGCAACGAATAAAAGTAAAAACCATTGTACACACACACACAAAAAAAACTACTTGCTTTAATTTTTATATTGTACCATTTACCATAATTGTTGAGGGATTTTGTGATTCTTTGCTTTCATTCTGCTTTTCTTTTTTTCCCATAGATGAGTGTTTTACTTCATTTTCAAGCTTGTTGAAATGAAACGAAGGCTAGGTGAATGTCAGTTGTACTGTTGCTGAGTAGTGTATCTATCTGTAGTACTACCCAATTTCTGCCTCATACCCAGTGTGTAACTTAAACGTGGTATTCCTGTTTTTCAGAAATAGGCAATGGAACTCTTTTCGATTGACTGTCAATATCTTTTGTTCTGGTGGTTTTGTTCTCTGCAATCCCATGTTGTTACCGGTGCCATTGTGTTTTCTGAAAATGTTTGTATTTGCCTACATCAGGCATAATATAGTTATGTACTTTTATTTCTAAGCTCGACAATGCTATTTCCCTCCCCCCCCCCCCCAGCATTCTCCTTTTAAATCGCAACACTGGCAGCAAGAGTCGGAAGCAGAATACCCTCGTGAACGAGCCACGTCCGTAGCGTTTGACCTGCAGTATTATTTACAGACTTTCGGAATTTTATTCGCTTAAGACTGTTCTGCATAGAGATTAACCGCCTACCTTACCGTACGATCATTATTTTACCCAGCTGTATATGACGAGACTGTCGAGGTCACTATCGAGCTGTACACGCTTAGCAAGCGTCAAATAAAACGCTGCATCCTTCCCGGTGTGAAAACTTCTTACGGATCGAGTCGGGCGAGGAGAACGGGAAACTTTTCGCGCCCGCCGAAGCGCTCGGCGCCGCGCTGCGCATGCGCCACCAC